TTTTTTACTTAGTTTTAAGTATAGAGGTAAAGTGCAGCATTATTTATATAACCATTAGGTTTAAGCCATAATCATTAAATTAATAATAGTACACCATCTTGCCGGGAAAAAGGGAAACTGGGAAGCGGAACTGAAGGGAAGTAAGGGGAACTGGAGAGAAAAAGGGGATAAATGAGTTGCGTATAACTAAAAACTAAAACTAAATTCTTTTTATAAAAATGGGAACAGTGCGAAAGAATCAACAAAATAAATATAACTCTTATAAATAATCAATAAAATAAATATTACTGTTATAAATAACCAACAAAATAAATATAACTCTTATAAATAAAAAAATAAATAAATAAACAGATGACTAAATGGAAAGTTCAAAAGAAAGTCAACAATATCGGTACAATTTCTCACCGTAATATCCATAATGACTAAATTCACATAAATCACCAAGTTCAATTAACTAAACCCACAGAATAAACCACTTACAAAAGAATCATAAAATAGACAAACTCATAGAAAAAGAATAAACAAAATATTGCGTAAATACGAGTAACCACAGATTTGTTCTTTAAACAGTTCAGAATTTTATAACCAAAACAAACCTAAATAAGGAATCTGTATTTATTTTATTGGTTACTGTGATGGCTACAAGATGGCGTTAGTGTTAAAATATGTTTATTTTAGAATAGAAATATTATTTTGATTAAATCGATTTATTATAAGAAAAATAATTCCATTTATTATTGAATTTTGAAAAAAGTGTGAAGTATAATTTATCTAAAATTCCGCAACAGTGTTGCCACCAGTGGCGGCTGGTGGATTTTGGGCACACCCATATCTCAGTTATTAGACATGGGACCCACATCAAATTTATATGAGTTTATAATGACATTATATAGACAAGTTCTGCGCAAGCAGAATTTAAATTAAAGTTTGCGAAAAAAAGTTAGTTTTTAAGTGCAACCCCCAGCCTCCTGCCCCTCCAAATTAAGATAATTCAAATTAAAGTGGTACAATATTTAATTCACTGAAGTTTATCAACAAATTTCAAATTTTATTAAAAAAATTCAAGAATTACAGGTTTTATACCATTTATGATTTTTATTATTTTTTTACAAAATTTAAAAAAAATTTAAATGGTATAAAATCTGTAATACTTGAATTTTATTAATAAAATTAAAAATTTGTCGATAAACTTCAGTGAATTAAATATTGTACCACTTTAATTTGAATAATCTTATTTTGGAGGGGCAGAAGGCTGGGGGTTGCACTTAAAAACTAACTTTTTTTCGCAAACTTTAATTTAAATTCTGATTGCGCAGAACTTTTCTATATAATGTCATTATAAACTCATATAAATTTGATGTGGGTCCCATGTCTAATAACTGAGATATGGGTGTGCCAAAATCCACCAGCTGCCACTGGTTGCCACAATAGGTCTGCTTATTTTCTTGGATTTAGGCGTGCCTGCCTCGCCTATGCTAATACGAGAGAAGGAGACAACTATGATATCGCATTGTAATAGAACGAGACAAAAAGGCTAACGCCAATCGTGAGTCTAAATTAGTTCAGGCATGCTTCTGAGCCAGTCATCTATAGATATAAATATTAGTTTAAATTGCGGTCGTTTCGAATTCAAATAATTTAAATGTTGCTGGGTATTCCAAGTATAAAATCAATCAATTTTATTGACTATTTCACAATTCATGTAATTCAAATATTAAAATATATTATAGAAAGTAAAATATTTAAACTATACATAAGTTTTTAATTCTCTATGATGAGGCACTGCCTCACCTGCCTCCCCTGACGGGCCGCCACTGGATAATTGAAATTGCACTTAACCCTGGTAAAAAATTCTGATCGGATCTGATCAAGTTCCTATACGGTTTTTATGATCGAATCTGATCGACTCCTGATCTGAATTTACGGTTGGATTTTATTAAAATTCGTTATGATTAATAAAACATGTCAGGTTAATAATAGGAACAGTTTTATTAATTTTATGGTTATAAGGTACAAATTTCCCGGTTAACTAAAAAGAGGTTATTTTTTAATAAACGCTCATCCCTAAGTATCATGTTTTACCTTAAAATTTTAGCATAGAACAGTGGTGGTGACAGTTAATAAAGAAAGGAAATTGCCAACCCCACGACAGGGATCGCTTTGATCGGATCTGATCAGGAATTTGAAAATTGATCGAATCTGATCAAGTTCCAATCAGTTGTTTTTAGCAGGGAATTTTTTTGCCCCCAATTGATATTTTTTTGACGGCGCCCATGTGCAGGGCCGGCCCGAGGTACGGGCGAACCAAGCAACGGCCCAGAGCGGCAGAATGGGGGGGCGGTATTTTTAAGATGTGTTAATGATAATCAATTTCATTCAACATACTAAAATTTTTTCGATTGGCGATATTTTCAAGAATTACGCTCGAGAAATGCAGTTTAGAATAGTATATTCTGTAACATGGAATACAGCATATTCCGCTCGAGTGAAGAGTTTGTCATACGAGCCGAAGGCGAGTTTGACGGTTTCACTAGAGCGGAATATGCAATTCCAAACGTGTTTCAGAATATACTTTTTCTACGTTTTCAAAAAATACCATAGAAAAATAATTTAATTGGAAGAAAGTGAGGTTGGATCGGTCTAAAATTTGTTAGATATTAAAAACAGAGATGTCGCCACGAGTGTTTATTCTGTCATCCGATGATAAAATATTTCATTCTGTAACACTATACGGAATATATATCATTCCATAGATAAAAGTGATATTAGAACGGTCATATTCCGTAATAGGAGTAGAAAAAATTTGATATCTTTGTTACAAAGATTTAATAGAGGCGCTATCGAAAGACAACCCTGTGCCCTCTTTCATTTGTTCTTCAATCACATCCTGTAGTTTTCCATACTTGTGTTTGACAATTGACAATTAATAATTGACAAATATTATATCACGATCGTGTGTTGTAAAATCAATGCATTGCTAAGGTATTTTGATAATTAGAAGTATAAAATGTCTGAAAACGCAAAATCTAGTACTAGAAGGTATAATAATTATACTATACTTTTTTTTCCTTTTCCTGCTGAATAAAAAGGAGGCGGCAAAAATATCTTCGCCCTGGGCGGCAAAAAACTTCGGGCCGGCCCTGCCCATGCGTTTAATAATTTAATTAAATAATTATTTAGCAAATTGTTATTAAATTTAAACTCATAATTAATATTTTAAATTATTATAAATTGTATTTACAATAACAATGTCCAATAACTATGTATATAAAATGTGTAATTACTATACTATTGTTTTTATAAACTATTATTAAAAATTCAAATATTCTTATTCATTAAAACGTATTAAAGTTTAAACAACATGCTTTTTATATATTTATAAGAAAAAAACTAAAATCTTTTAATTTTAAATAAATATTATTCCTCATGTATCCAATAACTATGCCCTATGAAAAATTATTTAAGTAAAGTATTTTACCAAAAACAAAAATAAATTGAGAATAAGGGTCAACTTTAAGCAGGACACCCTGCAATAGTAGCAAAATTCAACTTTTTGTTTATTTTTGAACTTTAACGTTATAGCATTGAGTAAGGAATGGTTATAGGGTAATACTGCAGATTTATGCAATGCATTTACAATACAATTGGAGGAAACAATTTTTGGCGTTGATATTAAAAACTGGGAATTTTTTGTTCAAATTTTGATTTTGACCTTGTGATGTTATTGTAGTCAATATGCCAATTTCTTAGGTTGATAATACTGATTTCGTTTATTGTATCGTGTCAATAGTTAAAAAATTAACCTTGAAATATTTTTAAAACCGTTTTTTTTTCGATATGCAAGCATTTAAATTCGTACATGTTTTTTGTAACAACCAAAGATCATTGGTCATGAAGCTATAAGTCCTTATTTAACTTAAATAAATAAATTATACACATTTATAAGTTATTCCCTTAAAAAACCTTGTTTTTTAACAAAATAAAATTGATTTTTTAGTAAAAATTCGAAAGTTTTCAAAGATCAAAGTGCTGTTCGAAAACAATTTTTGTACAATTTTTATAAAATTTAGAAAATTTAGTTTATTTATATATATATATTGTGTTAAAATTTCAACGCAATCAAATATAAATTGGCAAAATTTATATTTTTGGTTTTTTTTTCGCTTGTACGACTTAAAAAGAAAAATTCTGGTCCTATTAGGAATCAGCAGACTCAAATTACCATAGAAAAGTCATTGGATCCCCTGTGGCAAACAACTTTTTTTGGAATTTAAATAATTGTCAAAGATTGGCTGAAGAATTATGCAAAAATTTGTATTTTTCCTATTTTTTTATATTGCATTTTTTCTATAAGGTTCCACTAAAAAAATTTAAACCCAAACAACTTCAGTAATTAATACATGTATTAATTACTGAATATTTTTGGGTTTAAATTTTAAACAACGAAAACTCTTTCCTCAAAATGCATTTTAAATTAATTACATGTTCCTACAACATACCTACTAGAATATAAAAGTTTAAAAAGTTGAATTTTGGTACTTGAACATAAACTTACTCACATCTGTTTACAAAGTATGCTTTTAAAGAAGGTTTAAATTCCTTTAAATTTCGGTCTTTAATTGTTTTTGGTAATTTATCCATACATTTTTTTCGTAAATACCTTATTTGCATTGTAAAAGTGCAAACTCTATTTAGAAAATTCAAAAATGTTCCTATTTCGATGATTTTTAATTATTCTTGGCGAAAATGTAAATGCTGCATTTTTATTTTTGTACAAAGTAGGATTTTTTTTAATATTCGAACGATTGCACTTACACTACTCGACTGATTGGTCTACTTTGAGCTCAGCTCAAAATACCTTTTTATTAAAAAAAAACGGACTATTTTATTGACACAAATACATTCTTGGTACGATTGCAGTCTCTGCCATTGCCGACATTTGTAATTAAACGTCATATCATACAATCCCGATTCTTTAATTAAACTCTTATTGTCCACAGGGAGCGAAGTCAAAATTGAAAATGGACGCATAAAACAAAACAGAAACCAGGATGCGATTATTCGTGGCGATTACTTTTCAAACTCTTCTAATAAGTTGGACTGCGTTCGGCTGCGACTTGGAGCGGTTTCACTTGGAAAAACAAGTAAGCGTCGAAGAGAACGCAGCTTCAGCGGATATTGTGTTTCGGGGGTTCAGAATAGCCGTCGCGACGCCGCCTTCCAATGATCTAGGAGGCGTCCGTCTCTCAGCCTACTTTAACTTAGTAAACACTTACAAAGGAGTCGATCAGCTTAAAGCTCGCATCGGCTACGTATTTAGGTAAGGTGCTCATAATTGTCAATTTAGCCGTGTATTGTCAAAGAATATTTATTCGAAAATTAAAAGGAATATTGCAGAGGGTAACGTATAATTAAAATATAATATTATCATACAGGGTTGGAAATGTACAAATAAACAAAAAAAATATACAAACAATTAAAACTTTTATTAAATTATTGTTTCTTTCCAAAATGAACTACCTTTTTGTTTTTAAAAAGTTAAAATAGCAAAAAAATGTTAACGGGGGGTGTCCCCCATTTCCAGAGCTGACTATTTGGGAGGTTCTGATATTAAATTCCAATATTTTTAATAAATAGGAACAAAATTACTAATTAATACACTGTTAAAAAAATCAGATTTGTTAACATGAATTTGAAGTTTGTTAATTTTATTTTGCAAAAATTTTAACATATCTAATTTTTTGTAGAAAACTTTGCTCTCTTACAATGAATTGGTCAAAAATAACTAATTATAAGTCATTTTTGACTAATTGTCATAGCGAAAAAGCAGTCACTAAGAATTAGTCAAATTCTACTTAATGAAATAGTCAAATTAGTAGATTTAATTTAAAAAAAGTTTTGACCCAGCCGGGGATTGAACTCAGGTGTGTCACTTGTCAAGCTTGTCAAGCTGTTGTCATAACCCATTCGGACATCAGCCGCTCTTGTAAAAATCAGTTTTATTAGTCAATAAATATTGTTCATAATATTTTAAAGTTAGAAGAAAATATTATTTGTGTTGCTGTTTTGAGCTAAACTTTTTGCATCTTTGTTTGTTTTTATGGGCCATTTAACCATGGAGCCTATATGCATTTAATTCAAATAATACTGTGTTGTTGGCCGCAAACGATTAATGAAATTAGTTACTTTTAACTCTCAGAAATAGTCAAAGATGGTGACTAATCTTAAATTAGTCAAACTTTAACTATTTAACTATTTAAAAGTGTAAACGACTATTCTATTAGTAAAAAATGCTGGTACTAATTCAAATAGTAGAAATTTGACTATTTCATTTTAAGAGAGTGGTTTGTAATTATTTTAACAAAGGAAAATATTTTACAGAAAGTTTTGTAAAGGTAATATGCAATTTTGTAAGCATTTTGTTAATTTCAATGGTTACAGATTATTTTGTTAATGTTTAACAAATTATTTAATTGAAAAAGTACACGTGATTCCAGGCAAAACATTTCCCACTGACAATTCGCATCATCAAGTTCAACTGACTTCAGCGTCTGCAAATAATGTTTCTGCTTTATTCTAATTCGTAACGTTCAGTGTTTATAATATATTACCAGAAATTATTGTTATTCGGATTCCTTATACCTATTTAACGAGTGTGCGAAGTATCCGAAAAAAGATGCCTTCACTGGTTTTCAAACTGAAATTAGAGGGTGGGTAGAAGTGGGTTCAATTACGAAATACTTCAATAAGTGTTGTAGTGGTACTAATAATTATATTGTACCAAATTTCTTTACAATTTGATGATTTCACAATGGTGTGTTATTTAATTGTGAGTAGGGGAGACCGGGGTAGAACGGGGTACCGGGGCAGAACGGTATTTTATTGAAATTTCCCGCTGAAGACGATCGATAGTACTATCGTCCTTTGTTATCATTTACTAGAAGGCCAACACGTCAGTTGGTAATGACAAACGGGTTACTGCAAACCTTTTAGTGTGTTTTAGACTAAACGTGGTGAAATTTTGTTTAGTTAAATCGTTCTGCTTTTTTTTGAATTTGTACCACGTCTCTACCCTACTAAAAATTATTTTTAAACGTTCCGCCCCGGTCTCCCCTATGTTATTTTTGTGTAGGTATGTTTTTTTTTTGTTTAGGGAATTGATCAATAAAGCAACATTTGTTATTAACAATATTTTCATTTAAGTTTCCAATTTCCAACAAATACTTTTGTTACTGGGTCTACAAAAAGGTTTGTAAAAATCTACAAAATGTTTGTTATAATTACAAACTACTTATTCTATTAGTTAACAGATTACAGTTGGTTGTAAACTTAACATAAAGTTAAGTGGACCTGAATTAATATTAAATCTGGTTAATATTTGGTTAAAATTAACAAATATTTGTTTACTTTGTATGAATATGTAATTTTTCGAAAATTATTTATCTTTAAGATTGTTAGAGTAAATTCGGATCCTCATTTTTCTATAAATTCAGTAGCTAATGCCGACTGAAGCTGCAGCTAATGCCGACTAATCAATTTGAATATAGTAGAGTTTGTTTACTCATTTATTTTGGGATTAATTCGGCAAATATGCGTTATTTTATAAAAAATCGGGAATATTTTTAGTAAGTTCAAACAATAAATAGACAATTTTCAGTAACTTTTTGTAGGAAAGTTATTATATTAGTGATAAGTAAAATTTATCTTTTATTAGTAACTAACTAATTTACCTTTTATTAGTAACTAACTATTATAATAACTGTTATAGTTAGTTTTTTGCTAATCTATAAATTAATAAAAATCTACATTCATTTTATTATTAACTGACATTTCACACTGGACGTTAATTGTTTTAAAATATAAATGTAGGTAGGTACTGCTGTTTTTAATTTTGAATTCCTTTTGAATTTGAATTCAAATAATTTTACCTACAGGATTTAAAAAATCTAATATCGAGGTATTGAAAAATATATCAAATTTATACGAAGCATTTGCAATAAATTTAAATTACTATAAAAAAGTTTTATCCCTTTATGGAAAAATATATAAAATTTATTCGAAGCATTTGCAATAAATTAATATTACTATAAAAAATATTCTTTCCTTTATGGAAAGTCATCCGATCTTTAATTATGTGTTTTAATAATTCTAAAAAAAGATATATTATTATAAACAATATATATATATTTCAGAAAAAATTATTTTTATAAAATAAGGCATCAAAAAAAGTTTTCATTTTTTATTTAAGAAAGATTCCACCTGGTGCGAAAGGTCATTGAAAAGAAAAATGTATTAAGGAAAAAATATTTTTATTATGTTTTATAATACGTGTAGACGTTTCTATAGACTGCCTAAAAATAAAGCTTGGGTTTTATATAAAAATGAATAGGTTTTTATAAAAACAAATAATTATGAACAAAAAAGTGTTGAGAATATAAAAATATATATTTTTTTACTTTTGTTCATAATTATTTATATAACTATTCATTTTTATCAAAGTGAAAATATGAGAAGAAAAATCTTTTGGCAAAACAGTTCTCTCCAATCAATATATACTTTTGAGATACATGCTGAAATGTAAGTTTTTTATTCTTAAGTCACCAATTTATTTTATGTGCAAAAATTTTAATATATACTGCAATAAATGTGACATTAACTTCAATAGTATTGGTTTTATAATTGATAGCTTATGTAAAAATCTTTTAGTCTAAACTTGTTATACCTCTTTTTATATATATTTATTTTTTTAATAATATTAGGACTTATTTTAATTTCTTGTATGTAATTGTTCCGTAAATGGATTTTATAAAATATATATTTATGGGATATTTCATAAACATTTCAAATGCTGAATTTTGGTTTAAAACCCTCCAGAGGGGGTTCAAACCCCCCGTGCGCACGGGCCTGCCAAAACGAAAAACTTTTTTAGACCTGATACATCTAAACCGAGCACGGATTTAGAATCTACTACTAAAAATCATGTTTACGTGTCCTAGAGTTTATCTGTGATATTTCAAGAGTTAAACATTTACCTACAGTGTTTTTAGACCTGATACATCTAAACCGAGCACGGATTTAGAATCTACTACTAAAAATTATGTTTACCTACAGTGTTTTTAGAGAGTAGTTTTAAAATATATTTAAAAAGCATTCATTCACATCACATCACATTCACATCCTTGACCTTACCTCACACAATTAATGAGTAGTTTTAATTTTATAATTTTTTAAATTGATTATTGGTGGTCCGTAAAAAAACCAGGAAGCATATTTGAGTGGTATAGATGCAAAACCCTCCAACTACATTTTGAAATCCAAAGTTTTATATTGTTATAATAATACATGGCCTTAAATACGTATGTACGAATATATTATATACAGGTTTACAGCTAGTATGTGAAAATAAAAAATCTTCGTAGCAGTATACTTTTGTTTTCAAGAGGCCATATTTACACATTAATACTATCACTGTAACTTATATTTCAAATGGGAAGGGTGATGTTGTGATACATCTTTTGAAAGTGCATTACATTTTCATTAAAATGGCAGTACGTTTTTAAATTTGTGCTACGGTGGATTAGTATACTGTTAGATGTAAAAAAACGGTTTTTTTTTCAGATGTGAAAAAAAACATGAAAAAAAAATGGTTTTTTTTGTTTTTTTTCAAATCCGCTGCAATATAGCATATTCTGTCAATAAATAAAAAAAATCAATCTTAAAAAATGGAGTAATTTTTCAAAATGAAATTTTGAGTAAAATTTACATTAATTAATATATTATTATTAATATATTATATATATATATATATATATATATATATATATATATATATATATATATATATATTATTAATAATAAAGTGAAATGTAGAATATATTACATTTTTCATTATTGAAAATTTTGATCGAGACTAAAAAATCTGATTTCTTATTATTTGGTAGTTTCCACATAAGAATTCAATAGCAATGTAAAACTTCTACACTAATAGAAAAAAAATTCCAAGTTTTTTGCGATTTTTCGGATAGCTGTATCTTCGTTAAAAATGGTCGTATTGGAGCCGTAAAAAAAGCAATTTGAAGCTTGAAGTGTCTAGTTTTGAGATTTTTAGTTGAAAAACGTGCAACGCTCAATCCTAACGAAAACCGTAATAAAACATGAAATTTTGTTGCTTTTTTTTTGGTTCACGGAATGTTCTGACCACCAATGAATAAATGTTCTACAAGAATTTGCTATTGTTTTTTTGAAAAAAAAAATTGAAAAATCATGAATAAAAAGTGCTTTTGATGGTTTTTGAAAAATCAAGCTCTGAATCAAAAATATTATAGGTACCTAGTTACTTTTGATCAATTCGGTGGTGGTGGCGCGTGCAAAGCGCGAGACTGTATTTACATACTAAATGTCATTTAGAGGCTAATTTTAGTCCACGAACTGGACTGGAAACATACAAAATTAGGCAAATGGAACTAATCTTGAAAAAAAACCTAAAACATGAAAAAAAAAACATTTGAAAAAAAAACAATGAAAAAAAACCTGAAAAAAAACAAAAAAAACGGACCGTTTTCTTTTCAAGTCGCATCTCTAATTATACATATACATATAAAGGGGTGGGAAGCAAAAAGTGCATTTTAGCATGAAAAAGGTTAAGTACAGAATTGGGTAGTTTGGACTACAATTTTTTTTAAATTTTCTCATAACGAAATACCTGTACAGTTCTGTATATTGATTAATGAAAACAATGAAACAAGTATCCAGATTTTTGTATATATCAAAAACTTTAGTTAATAACTCCACTTCTCTTTTTTTTTACTTGTACTCTTTTGGTTCTTACCCATCAATATATTATCTATCGTTCACCTTCATACAATAGTACACCAACTGTTTAAAGTGTTTCCATTGTGAAAAATATCGGGTGTAATTTGTTGTCATTGATTATGATGTGGTTCCGCAAATCTTTTAAGGATTCAGGCTGCTTGGGATAATTTTTTAATTTCAGATGTCCCCACAAAAATAATCAGGGGGAGATAAATCCAGTAATCTCGCGGGCCAATCGATAGCATATCTACCAGGAAACGTTTTTATCCAGAAACTGCCCTACAGGTAATATAATAACATAATGGAAAGGATTTTCTTCATGGTAACGTTGATCGGTTTCCATAATTTCAATCAGCGCTGAGTTGACGGCATTCTCAAAAAAGTCCGGTAAGAAAAATGGTCCAATTAAGTATTGGATCACCAAAAATACCAGCCCAAAAGTTTAATTTCTGAGAATGTTGAGTATGAAACTCATGAAAGATCCTTGGATTCGTGTCAGACCAATAATGACAATTATGAAGATTGACAATGCCATTGAGAAAAAATGAAACTTCGTCTGAGAAGCAAATATTAAAAAGGTAGTTGGGAGTATTTAGAATTATTTCACAAAATTGTAAACGGCGGTCAATATCATCTTTATGTAATTCTTGGAGAAGTTGAATTTTATATTAGTTTTCTGTTACTTAATGTAGGGTCAAACCGTTTGACTCAAACGTAATTTCATACAGAACAGCTTCTACTACCTCTTTTCTTACCGTATTTTAAATATCGTCGCCTTCAGGAGAAAATCACGTAACTCCACATTTTCATTAAAATTGTATTTTAGTGGCATCTGTTAGATAAAACTGTAACTAATTTATATGCAAGTTACAGAAGTCCTAAAATAAACCGTTAATTTTAAATTTAGAAAAAGAAATATACGTATCTCCAATCGTGGAGGAGCGTCCAGGGAATAATGCCTAACTCCAATATACAAATCAGTGCCATTGACAAGTATAAGTTATTGCCTAGTTATTTTTTCTGTATGTAAGTATGAAAGATTGTATAGTGTGTAAAGTTAAGGTACCATGAATAATTTAAGGTTACTTTTATTAACATAAAGTACATATTGGAGATACGTAATTTTCCATTAAACAATTTTTTGGCGGTAATGTGGAGATACACCAATACACCTTTAATATGTTTTTCTTTCCTCCTGTAAAATTTTACAACATGGAGTTAAGCAATTTTCTCCTGAAGGCGACGATATCTCGTTTTTTGTTTGCCACTAAACCAGTTGGCCGGAATTTTGCTAATAATTCTAGGACGTAACCATGATGTCTATTTGCCTGTATACGAATAACACAGACCAACAAAAAAGAATATTTTTTGGTGCCTAGGATTTTTAAATTAATTTTAGTTAATTTTAAGTTGCTGAATTCAAATATGAAATCAGTTTTTCCACTCTACTTTTTTAGATCTGTATTTTTTTACGAGAGTAGAAATTGGCACGGGTTTGAACCAGGTAAACTATTTAGTTTACCTGGTTCAAATAAAATATTATTTAAATAGATTGGTAATTGGTAAAGTGAAGAGACCACTTCTATGACTGCTATTTCTGCATAGTAAATATTATTGGAATCAATTATATTAATAATTAATCTCTGAGGGACACTCAGAGGAGGTACCACTTTCAACCACCAACGTCATCACCTACCAGAGCTATTATATACAGGGTATATATTCATATGCTATATAGCATTTTACCCTTTTATGTGGTGGAGATATTTCAGACAAAATTTAATAAATGACAAGAAAACTTTAATTTTTTTATTTTCAGAATAAAAAAAACTGTGTACTCTTTATATAAACCAGTGTTTCTTAACCAGTGGTCCTCGAGTACGAGTATCCGCCGCAGTCTCACATATGTACTATTTAATAATAATTAATAAATGCTACCAAAAGTCTCAGGAAATATTAGATCAAGCACTGAAACATTTACTGCCTTTCTCAACGACATACCTCTGTGAAAAGGCATTCTCTTCGCTTGTATTAATTTAAAAACAGAAACAGATTACCTACAAGTGGAATCCGATTTGAGATTGCAACTTAGTATTAACATCAGCCCAAGTATCATCAACTTAGTTGCGAAGAAGCAGCACCAACCTTTACATTAGCGTATTTTTTTGTATTTGCAGTTCTAAAATAAACATGACATGCATGTATTGCTGTTTTTTTTATCAAGGGGTCCTTTGACTTGTGCTTGATTTCCTAGGGATCCGTGGACGGAACCGCTATTATTATCAATGAAAATCAAAAGAGTATATTAAAATAAATAACAAAATAATTAAATTAAATTTTCAACTTAGTTGCGAAGAAGCAGCACCAACCTTTACATTAGCGTATTTTTTTGTATTTGCAGTTCTAAAATAAACATGACATGCATGTATTGCTGTTTTTTTATCAAGGGGTCCTTTGACTTGTGCTTGATTTCCTAGGGATCCGTGGACGGAACCGCTGTTATTATCAATGAAAATCAAAAGAGTATATTAAAATAAATAACAAAATAATTAAATTAAATTTTGGCGAATTCGCCGGGACCAAATGTATTGTTTTTAAATTTAAATCAATTAGGGGAGTTCGATTTTATCCTTCAACGGCTGTACATCGCTCCATGAAAAAGTCTGAAAATAGTTGACTTTGACCCAGGAAGGATAAAATGGGGTTCCCGGTATAGAAATATACCGGTATTTCTTGACAATATCGCAAGCTTTGACCATTCAGCGAGGTATTTTGTGATTTGTGCAATCGATTTAGTGGATGTTTCAAGATTTGAAATTCCACGTGTATCTACTGGTGACTGGTTAAAAGAGCCACATCGGCTCAGACCAAATCCATTACTGAGGGAGAGGCTTATGGTACTACAGTAGTGGATAAAAAATATAGAGAGAGAGAGAGAGAAATCAATTAGGATAACCTCATATACTTTATCATAACATATTATATTTCAGGATTATTATTTTTAATATTACAATACCAAACCATTATCAAATTAAATAGATAATTGAATTAAGGTTTTCATCATTTATTTATTTGTTTTTTTTTACTTTAAATATTGTTTCAAAACTTTTTTGAATTTTAACCCTGGATAAATTTAATATTACCTTTTTTAATCAAATCAGCCCAAGCAATTTCTTTAAAGCTCAATCGATATTTTTTTTTCAAATAAATATTCATATTACATTAAAGGCGACATTAATATGATTTACAACTTTGTAATATATTAAACTTGTCTTACGAAAGCAGGCACTGTAATTCTTTATATTCGGGTGGTTTTACTCGGGTTTGCATTCCCTTCTTTCTTTACTGAATTCCTCGTATAAAGAAGATTTTTAAATTGTGTGGCCCTGCTGAGAAATGTATTCTTTTCAGGCAAATAAACGTTACTTTTGTAACCAGACCCTCGACCGAGTGTATCCAAGCCAATGACATCCCGAGAGAATACATTATATTCGCAAACGTCGTGGATGACAATGTACAAGCTTCTTCTATGGCGACATGGGATGAAAATACTGACGAAAGAATCTGGAAAATATTGGGTAAATAAACCGAATAGCCTAAAAATTGGGATGTACATTTTGTTAAAAAATAACCTATATATATATATATATATATATATATATATATATATATATATATATATATATATATATATATATATATATATATATATATATTAGGGTGTTTAAAAAAAAACAATAATTTTTTTCCAATGGTGTTGAAAAATTAATAGTACATTAAAAAACAAAAATGTTGGCGCCTATTTGCCCCTTAATATTAAGGTTTGCCTCAATTCTTTTGTTGTTTTTCTATTTCAATTACACGGAATTTTTTTTTTATTTTGAATTCAGATTAAATTAATGTGCTCTAAATAAACAGTACCAAATCTAAATTTTTTTAATAAGCAGTGTGTTTACAGCCTAGGCCTCTAGTGCATCCCTCTCTCCATTCCTTTTAGTTTAAAAATACATTTGCATCTAAATTTTCTTTTTGTTAAGCTTCTTTAACTTCCTGTCCCCAATTTCTACGTTGTCTGTCTCTTGTGGCTTTCATTTCCAAATTAGTTTTGGCAATTTTAAATTTACAAATGTGTCCATGCCATAAAATTGTTTATCTAAAATTGTTTATTTAGTTTCCATTTTCTTAATTTCTAACCACAAAACCTTTTCTTAAAATATCTCCTCCAATTCATTAGTTCTGTTGCATTGATTTTAAAAATTTTAAAAATTGGCTATATTGGTTAAAAGGTTATCCGATACCCTGCATATTAATTTTTCTTTGAATGACTTCACTCGTTTGCTTATGTTTTGTATAAAAATAATTAACATGACATGTTAAACATTGTTTAAAGCCTAACATTTTAGGAAAAGTTTTTGCTTAATATTTGAAATTCAATGAAATAGGCAACATGCACTTAACGTCAATTACCAAAACAAGCTGATTTATACAAACGAATTTACATAACGCTCCAAATTGCAGATTGTAACTAGATGTATTACTGGCATAATATATCAAAAAAGAATTTTAATTTCTATAGAATGGACAACAGACTTTGTTGGTTGATATTTAAAAATTTCATGCAAGATCATATTATTGAAATATAGTTCTTTAAAGCTACTATAAAAGGTTTAATTAAAATAAATATATACTTATTTAAATTGTTGTTAATTTATTTTATGTTTTATTCATGCTACTTCTCTAAATTTTTTATTCCTATGTAGAAAGTCAAGAAAATTCAGGTATACCTTTTCTTAATAAACTATCAGTTGATGATAACAACACTAAATTTTCTATAGTTTGTTTAATAAATAAATAATATATTATAAGTTTTCAATACAAAAATCTTATTGAGTTTATTTTATAAATTTTATATGCCATACCAAAGATGTTGAAAGATACGTCGAAAGAAAAAGTTTGCTTATACATTAAAAAGAACCTTTGCTTTCAAGATCCACAATGAAAAAATTTGATCAACTTTTAAATTAAAGATAACATGTTGTTCGAGTCATTTTACAAAAGTAACATGTACAAAATCACTCACATTAACAAATTATTATTACTACTGACAGGGGCGTGCTGGCAGAATCAATGCAGGCCTGGACTAGATGGTAGAGCAGTCCAGGCCCAAGCCAATTTCATATAAATTGTAATTGTAATTAAATAACTCGACTGATAAAACGTCCCGTGATAACTCTCTTCGCAACAAAGAAATGTTTTCAGCTAGTTTAATTATTAAGTCACTATATAAACGATTTTGCACCTTTCTCTCCACAGCAATCAGCATAAAAGCTTCCAAATTTAGTGTTTTAGATTTTTTTACGAGAGTCAATTAAAACTTTCTTTTTTTTAAATTTATATTTAGTGTTTAATGATATAACTTTAAAAAACTTTTTCTTTCTACTTGCCTACCATAACAAGTCCAGCAGACCACCATGGTAGCGCAGGCCACCGGGCATTCGCCCGGTGTCCCGGCGGCCCAGCACGCCCCTGACTACTGACATTTTTTTATTAATGCCGGATAATACACCATTACATACCATCAAAGTTCCCAAATATTGTTTATAAATTATAGATGTGACTTTTATAGTAACCTTTTGGTTTACCGGATCTTAATCCAATTGAGCACCTAGGGGATAAAGTTAAAACAAGGATTAGAGCTTCTCAAAATACCCCTGGCAATGCAAAACATTCTAAAGGAGTGGTAAAATATTCCTCAAAAAAAAATTAATTACATTATGGAAAGCTTACTTCGTCGAATTCGTGCTTGTATTGACGATAGAGGTGGCAACATTAAATTAACGATAATCTAATATTTCTTCCTATATTCTGTAGAGTTTCTTTTAGATAAATTCACATTGTTTTGTTATTTGTTCTATATAAAATTGGTTTTAATACATTTTTTTATTTGTGTAAAAAAATTGGATCGTATAAGCCTTAAATAAATCACTTTTGCAATACTTTTCCTATCACTTTTGCATTGCAAAAGTGATAAAGAAAAAACTTGCTTTCTTTGTCGTAAACTATCTTCCCCCAAGCGATGAAAACCCATTACATGACTTCCTATATAAAGTGTCGGAAATTTCTTAATTTACTATATGCAACGAGTAAGAGAGAGACCATAGACCTATGAGGAGAGAGTTATTTTGTTCATTTCTCTCTTTTTTGTAGCCTATTGAAAATTACGGAATTACCGACACTGTATTTTTATGGGCATTGTATGTTCCTTCTGTCCGGCTTATTTGTAGTCCTACGAAAGAGTGGCAGATGATAAATGTAACTGTCTCACCGGTAGTTAGTTGTCTATTGTTTAAAAGGATTAGTGCTTTTGTTAAAGAATAGAACTGTTTTTAAAAAATACATTTTATAATTCGTCTTTTTTGTACATTCGCAAAATTAATTTTTATCTTACTATTACAGTATAGTGCAAATTAATGTGAACACAAATGTATTTACGTATAAATAATATTTATTGAAAAATTGGGGTTACTTGGAACACTTTTTATATAAAAAGTCACATAAATAAACAACAAAAAGCATTTTTTTCGATATTTAAATGACAAAGTGTGTACCTTTTAAATTGAAATATATATATATATACAACAAATTTAAAATTCACGAAAGCTATCGAATTAAAAAAAAAGTTAGTGTTCAAGTTTCGCTTCATTCTGATAACATGGAACAGATGTATATTTTTATCATGTTTCTATGTTTTACAGCTTTTAAATTAAAAATAAATGCATAAGGCATTTTGGAACGTATGCTTCTAGTACGAAAACAAAATAAAATTTAACAGTCCTAGTCAAAAACTATTTACTGAATTAAAGAAAATGTCACAAAATTAACATGTTCCAAAATACCGCACAGTTACAAATAACCCCACTCTAAATATTTTAGTATTATTTAATAGGAAATATGTCCCCCTTTTTGCCTTTATTAAAGCTTCAACTCGTTTTGGCATGGAATTAATCAATGTTTTGCAATTTTCCTTTATTTTGTCATCTCGAAACCATAGGTACCTGAATTCATTTTCAGCAACCTGGCCTAGCATATAGCCCACAAATTCTTAATAGGATTAATGTCCGGTGAATTTACAGGCCAGTCTAAAAGGGTTACCTTTTTGTCCTAGTAAAAATTAGTCGCAATAACCGGCAAAATGACTTAATTCAGAATGATAGGTTATGGGATATGTCAAGAAACACCTGTCAGAATTGTCGCAGCAGTGTTAAAGTTAAAATATATTTAGAATTTCCCAATGTTCACATTAATTCACACAATACTGTAGGTTTTGTTGTTTTTTACTGATAAATTTATACTGTCCAGTAAAGGTTTATAATATAGGTACATAATACAATACAATTTGTATTAAACATTTTTAGCTGATTTTTTTTTGACAAAAGTAAGAACGATAAAAACAAACAAATTTCTTATTATTTTTTTTGTTTTTCCAATATATAATATGCGACAAATCAATTTAAAGTGGTATTTTAAAAAAAATAGGTTCAAAATAACCTTTAAGATTTTCTGCAAGCCTCAGCGCCAACAAATAAATTCTGACAAATAGGATATTTTATCTTTTATTTTTTAAATATAATTTTTTAAATAATTTATAATTTCGACCTAACTTTATGATACTCCATCTTACTAATATATAAATATAATAAAAACTCTACTGTTTTTAGAGTTTTACGATTTTATTTTAACGTAACAGTTGTTTCGCTATCACAGTAGCTTCTTCAGAATACAATCAAACTAAAGTTTGAAGTATACGTTAATAGGAGCATTTAAATTTTATTTAATTATTTATTGTTTATTTTATATTATATTTTTTTGGTTTATTTTCAGTGTATTTAGTATGTTAACTACCTCGTTAATACTTGAGTAAATACAAATGTTTGATAATAAACTTACTTGCTACTTATTATATTAGAGAGAAACGGGGTTAATTGCAATATTAAAGAAAGTTTGAAACGAATTCTAAAAGAAAATTTAATTAAATTCTTCCCTTAAGGATGGAGCAAATGGAGTGAATGGACAGCTTGCAGCGTGTCCTGCTCCTCGGGCATTCAACAACGGTTCCGCCGATGTCGTTCACCTAAATGTTCTGGCTTTAATGTGGAACAAAGACACTGTAATTTATTCGGGTGAGTAAGTCAGTAAAATTCTAAGCGACTAATTGAGATGAATTAGCTTAAAATACAATTTAAAAGAGATAAAATGTATTAAATAAGCTTAAAAGACCAACCATAGTACATTATCCAACAGGCAGAGAAAGCGATTATATTGTAGTCGAGCTCAGTGCAGTTAATACACTTTCTTTGCCATGTTGCATACTTTTTTTTAGGCCTGTCAGAGCAAAGTCAACAATCTCCCGTCAAAATAAAACTGAGTAAATTTTGATATTTTTGATATTTTAAATTCTAGATTTGTATTTTTTTATATATTATATTGAAATATTGTTGTTGTTAGTCTAGCAGCCAACTACAAGGTCTCCAGGATGCATAGTATAGGTGAAATCTATAATTATAAATTGGAGATTGCTGACTTTGATATGAATTGCTGGAGATTGCTTATTTTGTTGTAAACGTTAAGGAGATTTAGAAAAATAAACAAAAAAATAATTGTATTTTTATTCCTTTAATGGTTATAAAATTTAAATATACAAAAATCGGACCACATAAATCTGGAGTTTCTTCTAAATCTGGGACCAGGTTGCCTCGTATTAAAACAACTCATCATCTTCTTCCCACTTTGCCCCGTAATGTTTTGCATAGCACAAAATAAACAAGATAACTTTTTATAATTCTTAAAACAATAAAACGTATATACACCTATTTTAAATATATTTTTAAGTGCAATTTAGTGCAATAGAAATTAACAGTATGTAACAGTAAAAAACACAAAATTAAATCTATAAAATACATTATAACATCAAATGTTAGGATATCAGGTGACACAAATTACTAATTGGAGATTGTATACTTTGCTGCAAATCTATCAGTGGAGATTGTCAACTTTGCACTAAATGTCATTTTTAAAATAGTATTTTAGACAGGATTAAGCTTCTTTTGCAGCACATAAACTTTATCATCTTATAGATAATTACTTGAAGTACAGTCTCCGCCAAAAATCTAATTTTTGACCAAAAGTGGAGATTTTTGGTTTTGCTATGACAGGCCTCATATGTGAATGAAATTTAACAGATGCTTACTCTAGATGGAACCACCCTTTTTATGTAATTGTTATTATTATTATTTTCAATACAGTGGTGTATAATAATTTGACTTTGAAGTCTTTCTATTCAAGGTGCACCATACTTCCTTCTATATATGAGTATCTTTTTTATTATTTATTTTAGAATTACAAGTTTAGTATAATAGAATTTAAAAACTGAAACAAAAATGAATGGTTCTCATAGAGTTTAAAATAACTAAATTATTCGCATTCCTGGAAATTTTGATAAAATCAGATACAATAGGTTTTCTACTTTACGCTAGTAGTAGGCAACAAATATTGCAAAGACTGAAATGCCTTCCATCTGGCCACCGAGCCGCCCACCAACACTGACAGACAGCCTGTTTCGACCTTCTGGGTCTCATCAGTGTCAGGCAGTCGGTGACGGGAGACACGGATCGAGCTCGGAACTGTTCACTTATAAAGAAATAATGACTAGGACAGCGGCGAGATATATCGGCAAGTCAGTCTGGAGACATCTAACGTCTAAAGACGTGGCCTAGTTTTGATAGATTTATATAAAAGAAAATGTGACTGATTAAATAAAATTGGTCTTAAATGCCTGGGATCAAAAATAAAGAAGTTATTAAAGAATAAAGTTGAGCTTGTCCTTGGTAAAATTACCTCCTTTTAGGATTTCGGTAATGTCAATACACAATTTCTTTATATTGCTGATTTTTTAGATGTGATGGGACATTAAATCCTCTAGCGTTAAAGGAAGAACAGTTTTACCATCCTTCAAAGGATAGATGGAAAAAGGTGGCAGATAGGCCGACAGCATGGAAATTACGTCCAAATTCCTACATATGGATTCCGTCATCTGAGCTTGTTGCAAACCAAAAACAAATTTTTCCAAGAGATTTTACTTTGTTTATTACTCTTCGTGTTGAGAAGGTAGGTACCCAAATAATTTATTTACACATTATATATATGTATATTATATATTTCTAATTTTTGTATGACAAGTGCATTGGTAATCTCCACAAATAAGAATAGTTTATACATTTTTTACATAAGTTAATTTGCATCAAACATGAAGATCGCTACCATTTTAAATTGTTTAAATTTAATTAATAAATATAATTTTTTTTAATGAGGCATAATAAATAAAAAATTATATTTATTGATTACACCTGGAACCCCTTTATAAGCATACTATTGAAGTGAAACTTCTGAAGATGTTAGAAATCGAGTTTTAGAGTAATGATTAGAGTTGTGTGTTGTGTGAATCTCATCTTAAAGAGAACTGCTTAACCACCTTTTATACAGATGTCTTCCAAATTAGCATTATCCTTAAAAAGGCATGTAATAAAAACTTTAGAATGTTTTAAATGTCCAAAAAACCAATTTGTAAGATTTCACTTAAGGACATGCTAGATTTATGCTTGGAGATAGATGGGCTGAATACATCACTGATGAAAGGTTTAAGTTAAAAAAACAAATTACTAGAGCAGTTCTAACCTTTATATCATGCTCAAGTTTATTCCAGACTTTGTTATGAAGTTTGTGTTTTGGGGATCTTCGATGCGTATAAAAGTCAGTAGAGAATTGTACAAAGTATTGCTAAAGTAACGCAAAACTATTAGTGCAAGACACTTTTTTTAGGTATCAATCTTGATTCAGATCTTAAGTAGGACTATCATGTGTGAGGTTTGTAAGAAAATATCCAAAGACTGTTTCGCATTTAGAAGACTTCGATCAATTAATAATGTAATGTTTCAACTTGTAAGTCTTTACTATTCAAATTTTAAATCTTAGTGCACCACCTGCATAATAATCTGCTTGAACCTATAAAAATCTGTTTGATAAGTTTGTTAAAAATCTATTTGATAAGTTTGTTAAATGAAAGTGTTTATATTTGGTTTATTGTATTTAATTTAATTATATTTTTACTTTTTATTTTTACTTTTCTCTTTTAACGTATCCTATATTACTTTGTAATCCTTTGGATAAATAAATATTATTATTATTATTCTTATAATTAAATGTACGATATTCTGGCGTTGCCATGTATTGTTATTAAATTAAGAGTTTATATAATTTTAACAACATTTTTTACCTGTACAATATAGGAATTTACTTATGAAGTGCGGTAAGTGATACTTTTCCATATGCGACTGCCAAACGACGCGAAGCGAAGTTCGGTTAGTGCGGAAAATAAACTTTTTGCAATGTGTTTCTACGAGCATAGAAAAATTAACTAATTTTTGGTTTTATCTCTAATTTCTCCCTCGATATACTAATAGGTACTGGTACTTGTATAAAAGTCAAATTTTACGTCTATTCAACGTATGGACAAATACAGTCCATAGTTAATGTTTTGATTCCTGCGTCAGTGCAGAAAAACCTTTTCGGCACTAGTGAGAAAAAGACTTTCAGCATTAGTGCTCGTAGAAAAAATAATATAACAGAATAAACATTAAACAAATCTACTAGTTTGGGTAAAACCATTTTTTATAAAATTACAGAGAAAATAAAAAATGCCAAATCCATTTTAAAATTTAAATCTCCTTTGTTAATTGTAATTTAATTGTTTTTATAGCATCAGTGGGTTTTTAGTTATTAAAAATTAATTGATTTATCTTTATGTATTGTTGTTTTGTAAGTTTTGTATACATGTATACATAAAATAAGTATAGTATGTTCGGCAAATGCTTGCATTATAGAAAACAGCAACTCCATACAATCCTGATATTTAAAACTGTATTAAAATGTCAAATCGGCCACTTCATGCTCTCCTGATACAGGTGTTTAAAAGCGTTTTATATTTTCTATGACATATTAAACGTGACGTATTAAAGCTTATACCTCGCTAAAGAAGTTTTACTTCAAAAATTGTTCTTGGAGATATTTTTTTCAGCAAAAGGTTACTTGGAAAAGTTTACTTGAATATTTGTATAATCAATACACCTTACTTTACTAAAGGGTTGTACATTAATTGCATTTTTTCAGGATTTCAGGCCCCTCTGCCTATGTCGCGCATAATTAATTTCTTACTCTTTGTTACAAGTCTTGACCCCTTACTGGGGAGCAAATTACTTTATGGAAGACCTCTAAGATCCCTTGAAAATTTTATCATTTGTATGATTTTGGCAGCTTAAATTATGCATATATATTTGGTTTATAATCATAAAATTAACATTTTGTGATTTAATGCTAAAAGAGACAATTTAAGGGAATACACTAACAAGGTTGCTACTTTTGGCCACAACTGTAGAAAGAAAACTAATAATAACGTATAATATTGATTTCTAATTCCTTTTAAGCTGTGTTAAACATTTCAGGACGCAATGGGGACGATTTTTAGCTTGCGTTCCAGGAATCGCCAGGACAGCTATTTGTCACTCGAAGTTTCCGGGTCCGATCTCAAATTAATTCATGCGGCATCCAACGGAACCGACTTCATTCGAATACCGACTAAGTTAATTGGTGGTCAGTGGCATCAGATTGCAATAAGGTAAGGACTTATATAGCCTTTAGTGAATAATAATGAAATACCTCAGTTTAAAAGCGTTTGGTTTGAATATAATTTTAAAATTAAATTGCGTTAGGATATATATGGTAAAACAAATTTTAACAACAAGAAAGTTTCTAATAAAAACATAGCATTATGCATAGATGAGTTTAGACTAGCTTAAAGAAAAATAAACAGCTTCCATATTAAATAACAGTGGTATTAAAAATTGTAGTTAATTGACCTGAAATTTTTGTGTCAGTTACTTATTGCACTGGACTACTAGTTTTAAGGTTAGAACGTCTCTCTAATATCGATGTAAGATTATCCATCTGACAGATGCAGCCATTAATTGCCCACCGTTGTCGAGTGATGACGTTGCGGTATCAAACTAACAGCGTTTAAACTCTAGAAAAATGTTGTTTACCATAAAATTAGTACGTTTTAAAATATGCTCTTATTCACATATAAAAAACATTTTTTTTACTCCAAAACATGGATTTTTTACAATCACCCATAGAAGCATATCAGGTTAAAACTTGGCCAATAATTACCAATCGCGATGGCCAACAATAAATAATTGTGCCCAATAATATGCTGAAGCAGTTTGGATTAAGTTAGGTAGGTTACCGTTTGTTTAATTTTGGGAATGTTTGGGCATGGAAAAACGATGACAAGTTTTGAAGTTTATTTGGCAAATATTACTGTAGGTAATATCACAGCTAAACGCTCGGACACGTAAACATAATTTTTGGTCGTAGATTCCAAATCTGTGCTCGGTTTAGCTGTATCAGGTCTAAAAAGTTTTCCTGTCGAAAATCCGATCCGTGGACAGACTGTATATTGGTAGGTATATTATAATTTGTTAAATAATATATTTCACCTCTTGTCACGTTGGTACATTTGGCGTTTTCAACTTAGCTTCACTTTGCAAGAAAAATTAAAATCGCGTATGTAGCCGATATAATCTTTCAAACATTTTTTTTTAAATAGTGATATTATTAGCTTCACTTTGCAAGAAAAATTGAAATCGCGTATGTAGCCGTTGTGGAGATACACTTAAATGATTTTTTTTATAATATAATGTGCAACAGTGAGCTTAGTCTCTGTGTATCGCCTCTTGTGTTGAGGTTTCTAGGACATTTTTCTATTTCAATGGCTGCACAGATGGTACGTTTGGTTCTGTATTCGATGCTAGCCAAGACCCTTGTTTTTTTTTAAGTCAATTTCCCATTATCGCCAGCAATAACCAAATTATTCATGGAAGACATAGAAGTACGAGCAATCGAAACGAAAACACTAAAATCAAAGTTATGGCTACGGTATGTAGAAGGGACATTTATCATCTGGACCCACGGAAAAGCGGAACTGAAGAAATTCCTGGACCATCTCAACGGAATTCCCAAAAAGATTAAGTTTACAATGAAAACCAAGAAAGAACACGAATAACCTTTTCTGGATGTCTTCATAATTAAGAAAAATAATGGCAAACTAGGGCACACGCCCAGTCTCACCACCACCCGTCACAACTGCAGTCATTAAGACACTTGTCACGCGATCCGAAAGGCTTGCGGATGATGACCACAAGAAACAAGAAGAACTGAAAATCCAAACGACGCTACAGCAAAACGGATTCTCCAAAACCATAATCAAAAAGGCTTTTAGACCATGACGCCGGTTAAACAAACCAACCTCGAAGGCCTTACTTCCCTACGTGAAAGGGACAACCGAGAGAATAGGCAAAATTCTCAAAAACATAACATTGAGACAACATTTACCGCCCCAAGAAAGATCGGTCAAATACTTTCAAACGCCAAACCAAAAATAGAGTTGGAGGCACAAGGGGTATACGAAATTCCTTGTAAAAATTGTGACGGAAGCTACATGGGACTGACCAATAGACGCGAAGAACATCGTAACGCAGACTTGAAGCAATAAAAAACATATTCCTTAGCTGGAACGTCCAAAAAACTTCTCATGAAATTGACTTTGAAAAAACAAGGGTCTTGGCTAGCATCGAACGCAGGACCAAGAAACCTCAATACGATACACAGAGACTACCAACTGCATGGAAACCAGCTAGTACAATCACCAAAACGCCACGCAAATTAACGAGATCAATGTTCTTCTTGAGGTTTCCACAGGCGTTATATGTATTGATGGTTTTCCGGGATCTGCTCCGTGTTGTCGGTTTTTGGTTTTTAAAAGAACCGTATGTCTGACGACGTTTCGATACAATCTCATGTACCCTCTTTAGGTCTTATCTGCTGGGCTGCTGTTGCTGCTCTGCTGATTTAGGTTTTCCCTGGCGTTATATGTATGAACTCATAGTAGAGCAGCAACAGCAGCCCAGCAGATAAGACATGAAGATGGTACATGAGATTGTACCGAAACGTTGTCAGACATACGGTTCTTTTAAAAACCAAAACCGACAACACGGATCAGATCGTGGAAAACCATCAAGATTACAAAAAAATATATTTGGAAGATTATATATTTTTTTAGTTGAAAACGCCAAATGTACCAACTTGTTGTGTCAACATTCTTATGTTTTTTATTTTAATTAATATAATATCCTCAATTATACTCGATAAAAAAAAATTAGCAAAAAAACATTTTGAATTTTCTAAATTATCTATGAAAAACCCCCAGGTATACGTGTTTCTTTTGATGAATTAAGTACAAATTTTGCAAGAATTTGTTTTTTTTAATTTGGAACTGATGTTTGGGTCCAGCCAACTTGATTTTTTTAAATGTCTACAGGGTCTTTCCAATATCTTTGAATTTTGACCTGATACAACTAAACCAAGCATGAATTTGTAATCTACGACCAAAAATTAAGTTTACGTGTCCGAGCGTTTAGCTGTGATATTTTCACCTCCCTACAGTTTATTAGGCTTTTGAAAAATTTACCAATTAGTAAAAATTTGAACAAATTCAGTATTTACCAATAATATTATTATATTTAAAGGAATATTACTACAAAAAAATTAAAGCTGTTTCTCGTTTACATTAAAATTTATTAATTTTTAGGGGAGTTTTTAAAAATTGCGGCCATTTCAAGCGCGCGAAACGCACGAATTACAAAACTGTTTTTATAAAAACAATTGTAGATTATTTATTATATAATATTTTGGCATCAAAATTGTCAAAAATTTTCTTCTTTTATTAGGTTATGCATTAAATAAAAAAAAACGCAAGAAATATTTTATAAAAGTAGATATAATTTTAATAATTGAAAGGTGTGGACGGGACAAAAAAAGATTTATCTTGTCCCGTCCATCCCCTGTCAATTATTGAAATTATCTCTACTTTTATAAAATATTTCTTGCGATTTTTTTTATTTAATGTATAGCCTAATAATAGAAGAATATATTTGACAATTTTGATGCAAAAATATTATATAATAAATTACCTACAATTTTTTTTATAAAAACAGTTTTGTGATTTGTCCCGTCCATCCGCTTGAAATGGCCGATTGGGTAAATTAAACGCTTTTTATAATTAAAATTAAAGAAACACGGTTTACAACTACAGGCACAGAAAACAATTTAAAAATTTTGTATTTAAATTTTTTAATTATAATAAAACAAATAAAAAAATAAAAATTTTTTAAATTTTTTTTATTAAAAAATATTTTAAATAATAAAAGTTGGAAAAAAAAATAACGTTTTTTATGAAGAATCCTAAAAAAAGTGTTTTAATTTGTTTTGTAAAATAAGGCTTCTCTTTGATTTCTGGCGCGTTGCTTGGCGTTGTTTAAGGCCACGTCAAATGACCTTTGAAACTCTACAGCCCCAGGAGAAATAAATATCTTGTGTTTATGTAAATTCTCTAAAAAAAAATACCATTATATGTGTTATAATATTATGAGACAAATAGAATTACTTATTGTAAAATTGTTTGTGATTGGTAACTTTATACATTTTATGTTATTAAAAACTTCTAAAATAAAAAAAGAAATCAATATTAAAATACAATGCAAAAATCACAATATAATTATTACCTTCCTCACTTCAGGCACAATAGATCTTTAAACCCAATAAGTTTTTCTCTATGATATAGATAAAACATTTATTTCTAAATTATCCTGCTTGTAGTATGCCTTGTATGTATAGGTAAACTCTATTTACCCAGAAAACGGCGGTTCTTTTTATCCACTGTAACGAGATAAAAATCTATAACGATGAACAAAACATAAGAACATAAGTAATAAGGAACTACCAATGTAAATTTATATTACTTTAAAATTAACGACGGAATAACAATCTTTGAAAAGTAAGAAATTGTTAAATAATTAAAAAACTTTAAAGCAATACTCAAAATTTAAAGCTGTTTAGAACTTAACACACGTTTAGTTAGTGGACGGAGGATTATAATTTTTTTTTAACTTTTATACAAGAACTTTTTGACTAGACGCAAAGTATAGAACTCGCTATTGCGCGTAGTAAACTGATTCTTTTTCCATGCTTATTAATTGTTTGACAATTTTCGACCAAACTTCATTACAAACGATGTTGGCCAAAAATAACTATTCTTTATTTTCAAGCTTTGTGCTTGTGCTATCGCGTTGGGAAATGATTGGCATAAAATATGTAAATTTTGGGTTAAACTTTATGAAAATACAATTTATATATTCAAATAAACCATAATAAATGTAAAATATCGTACACCAAACTTAGTTGGGAAAAAGTTAACTTATTTCTTTCCCAAACCTTGACAAAACCCATAGGGGATGACAGCCTGGATTTTTATAGTCAGAATTCGTAAAACGGACCATTAAAAATTAGTGGTTCTTGTTTTTTTAGAATAAGTTAGTTTTTTCTGTTTAGTTTAGACAGAAAATACGTTTCCTTAAATAAGAAGTTATACTGTATAATATACAGTGTATTGTCGCAAGCAATTTTCAGTTATTTTTTTTCATTTAGGTTTCATTCAAAATCTATCTAAAATATATAATTACACTACGTAACAAATAATAACTATTGTTTTGTTTATTGTGTATTTTTTTGTATTATTTAGTCATTTTAACTTAATAAAAAAAAATTAGTAATAAGATTCCTTCAGTTAAAATTTTTATTAAAAAAATAAATAAATTAATCAGGTTTTGGCCAAAAAAATATATTGAACATGAAAAATCTGACAAAAAAATTAAAAAACTAAAGATTATAGTTACAAAAAAACAATTTTTTTACATTGATTTACAGATTTAGGCTTTAAAATGGGTGGTAGAACGACTTTTTCTGTTATATTGACCATATCCATCTCGAATGAGATTTCATTATTATTTCATTCCATCTACCTTGATAACGCCTTTCCATTGCTTTAATATCTTGATGGAACCTTTCCCCATATTCTTCGCACACGTCTCCAAGGTTTTCACGATGCAAGAAATGCATTTTGATTGACATATTTTTGAAAGCTATTAATAAATATTCAACAACTTCCACATAGTTGTCGCTTTTGTTATTTTCCAGAAAACACTTTGTGATGGCACGAAATGCTTTCCAAGCCTTTTTTTCATTTTCAGCCAATTTATTTTCAGTCTTCGTACAATAGCATTTTTTTTATTTGTGGCCCAGTAAAAATGCCTGCCATTAGTTTTGCTAGTTTTTACCAGTGTAAACATCGATATAATATCGATGGGTATTTGACAAAACATCGTAAGCGACAATTTTGTTGAATTACTTTTTATTTTATCAAAGTGTCAGTTACGATAAGCTGCACATGTTAACATAATAGTTATCCCAATTTTGGAATCTAATATTGGTCAGTTTAAATATTTTTATTACTGTAAGCGCCTCTTCTTTTTAATTTGTTACCGATTTATATCGTAAGCGCCTATATGTTCCCGACAAATAATCTTAAGCAACTCCGAGACATAGCGTTTGCGATTTACCATTGTGTCGCTTACGATAATATTGTGCTCCCGCCTTGATCTATCAAGGCATTATACCCGCTCTAAACAGTTTATTCGTGAGTATACCTGCATCCTGGTGATTGCTACCAAGTTTTAAAACAATATTTTATTTGATCAAAAGCTTATAAATTCGTTTTTTTCATTGCATAATTAATAATTGTTTTTACGTAGTGTGGTTCGTTAAAAGTGTTTTTTGTAGTAATTGTATGTTGTTATAGCGTCAAATAATTTGACTCAAATTTATAACGGTTAGATCATGGTACCATGGGTTAGATCATGGAGCCTACAGTGTAGGCCCTACACAAGGAGTGTAAACATATTGTATCTTCCTAAGATAAGAGTGCGCTGGTGTTCCGTTTATTCTGAAACAATTGTTTAATTTGTACCGAAACGCTAGCATCGACAATCAGCGCCGCTGGTAGTGAAAAAAAGAAACTTAATTTGTACAATTTAGAGGGCTGGTTTTGTCAATTTCCCCTATTAAGTTCGGGCTCCTTGTGTAGGCTCCATGGGTTAGATACTGGTTTGTGAATAAAAATCGTTCGTTTTTTTTCAAAGAAAGCTAATGTAGAATTTCATTTTCAAACATTGGCAAAATATCGTTGGTGATATTTTATAAATTAATTTTTTTGTATCTTTTTTTAATTTAATAATAAAAGTAAAAAAATAAATGTCGCTAACGATGTTTTGACAAAAGTAATCATCAAATCTATATACCATAAAGTAACGTAAATGTAACTTAAGCGACAAGACTAATTTTACAATTTCCTAAAGATGTTCTTATAAAATATCGTATGCCACAAAATTTAATGAAAATTTTAGATTGAATTCGATCTTACTTAAATATTTGAATTCTACATTAATAAAATAATGCCTTACCAGTTTTCAGATAAATAACTTTAAAAATAAAGCTCCCACACAAAAAAAATCTCTCATGTAAAATTTAGGTTTTGTCGCTTACTATGTTTTGTCAAATAACAATCGATATGTCCAAAGGCAAGTGAATTTGTGCCAGCCTTCACAAATTGTTTGGCAATTTCTTTCAATTCTGATTCTTTGGAACTTAAAGTGCCTGGTGGGAAACGAACAGGAAGCTTATCGGTATGATCAATTGGTGCACTGGTAGACTGTAAGTCCGGATAACAAATATTTTTTCGATCAGATGTGACTTCTTATAAGTTTTTAAGTCGACGACAAAAATAAAAATCTGTGACATGATTGGTGGGCTTTCTCCAAGTTCTTGGAAGGCCAGAAGCCATTTTCCTGTTCTCTCCTCTATACCATGCCTCAAGAGTTGATCGACAGCACTAGCGTCTAGGTACAGGAAAATTGCGAAGCTTCACACGTCACACACCGTAAATCGGTATTATTTCCCAAGCAATAGAAAATTTTACAATAAGCTCGGTAGCTCGATGGAAGGGTGCCTGCTTTGCATGCGAGAGATACGGGGTTCGATACTTGGCGCCTCCACAACTTTTTTTAATTTTTTTTTTTAAAGAATTTATATACCGAAATAATACAATGTGGCCTTAAAAGCATTTATATTTAATTTTACATTAATATTTTAATTTATTTACCTTTCCTCATAATCATTTTGCTAGTTATATAATATATTTTTACTCAATGGGGCGGGGGGGGCCAATGGGGCGGGGTCGGTTGGGTTGTGTTGTTGGGTTTGGGTTTGGAATTGGCAAACCATATAATAAACTAAACTAAACTTCTTTAAGTGACAAATCTTTATGGCGCATGCTCGAAGCTTCGCAATTTTTCTGTACCTAGACGTAAGTCATGCCAAAATAACATTTATACATGTCCCAAAGCTTTGTATTCTGCACTATTTCAAATTTTACTTGTTTTTTTGATATGTAGTGACCACATTACTCGAGGCAAATTCGTCTAAATGACATTTTAAAGCAAAAATAAACATTAAACACTCGTCATAAAGACCACAAAATTTTAAAAATACCTAATTTTATTAACATACAATACCAACATAATCAAATTCAGAATAAAAAAACGAACTACAATTATCTATTGCATATTTACAAAAATTTTAATTTTTTTAAAAATAACTCACCTGCTTTTTGTTTCAATTTCTTTTTGGACAGAAGCAATCAAAAAGTATTATTACGAGTAAATTATCATAAAAACCCAATATCAACATAAAGTAACAATAACATTATAACAATAGTTAATTTGTTGTTATAAATGGCAAAATTAGGGTTTAAAATTGTCAATTTTTTTTATTTTTTAAGTTGACAGAACGAATTATTATATTTTTTAATACAATTTTTAAAAATTGGGCACATACCATGCGTACCGCAACTTATGTTATAAATAAACATTCTTATGTTTATACTTTATAAATTGCTCACTAAATTTTATCTAATTCCATTCAATGGATTGATTGAATAATACCTAAATGAAAAAACGACTAAAAACTGTTTATGACAATGGGTGAAATTTTGTTATGGTCATATTTAATTTATTTTAAAAAACAAGAACCATCAATAATTATTATTGGTGATCCGTTTCACCAATACTGGCACATAGTAAATATATTAATTATGATGAAATGTTTGAAATATTTTTTAAAAAATTTACATTTAAAATACAAAATTTGTTTTAATTAAAATAAATTCGTTTATAATTATATTTCAGCATAAGAGACGAAAGTGTCGTAAACAGTTATTCGGACTGTGAATGGTTGGGAACAGACATTTTGAAGGCTGGGACTTTAAAAATTCCTGAAAATTCTGATGTTATTGTCGGATATTTATTTACTGTAAGTGATATTTTTTTACGTAATATTATATAATTTTATTTTGATTATAAGACAATCTCATTTTAAATATTACGGTTTAAATTTACTTTTCTCTTTAAAAAGCTATACAAAACTAATCTTAATTCAGATTAAAATCAGTTTTTATCATCCATTATAAGTCAATTTACAGTGTGTCCACGGATGGACTTAAATATAAGTCATTTTTCATAATTTCTTTTGATTGTTATAAAAATACGATTCGCGTTAAGAAACATCCATTTTATTGTACAGGGTAAGCAAAAATACATATTTTCAAAATAAAAAATGTTTAAATATTTTTTTAAGCGCTAATATAAAGAGCTGGTAAGGAGAAATCAAAAAGTTTTTTCATATGACTTTTTGATACTAAAATATTTGATATTGAAAATTTAAGATATTAGTTTTCAAATTTTAACAAATAATTGTAGACATGTCAGTTGAAAGCAACAACCTTGATTTATAATCACAAAATGAGATAGAAGTTAATTTCTACGAAATATAAGGACCACTCAAGTTAGGACCTGGACTGATTTTATTTTTAATAACAAAAAGTAACAACTCACATAAAAAAACTTTGTTTGGCTTTTTCGTTTATCCTTAAAAGCTATTCATATTAGACCTTAAAAAAAATTTTATTTTCAATTTTGCAAAATCTACAATTGTATTATTTGCCCACCCTGTATAACAAAATATAAGTTTCTCATCGTGAATGGTATTAATATAACAAGCAGAATAAATTATGAGGAGTGACTTTTCTTCGAAAAATTGAAAATAAATATTTTTACAATTATAGTTAAGTCCATACATGGACGTATATATATACAGCGTGTATCACGGTCGATGGTAGGTTAGACGTTTATTGAGAACGGCAAAAGATATCGAATTAAGATTTGTATAGCAATTATAATATCGTTTAAACTATTTCTTTAAATTATTTTAAACAAAACTGAAGCGATATCAATGTTATTTTAAATGAATCACCACAATTTTTTTACATTTTTAAATTCTTACTATCATTCCTTATAAAATGGCTATATCATTCCTTACTACTTTTTATACCTAAACTTAATAGTTTTTAAGTTATTAATTTTTTTTGTAAAATTTGGTCATTATAATTTCATATTTAATTATGTAAAAATATACAAGGCGGTTCATTAAAAATAAAAAAGTATAAGGTTTTAAAAATATTACAATAAAAAATATGGAATCTTTAAAACAATGCTTCAGGATTCCAAGAAATCCAACCGAATATCAGCAAACCTAACATTAAAAAAGTTATAAGCTTTTTTTTAGGGTAAAACTGACCAAATTTTACAAGAAAAATTATTAACTCAATAACTATTAAGTTTAGTTATAAAAAGTAGTAAGGAATGATAGTAAGAAGAAAAATTGTGATGATCCATTTAAAATAACAAAGTTGATATCGCTTCCGATGGAAATGGAATTTTGTTCAAAATAATTTAGAAAAATAGTTTTAATGATATTATAATTGCTATAAAAAGTTCAATTTGATATCTTTTGCGATTCATTATAATGAATGGCAAAAGATATCAAATTGAATTTTTTAATTATCCATAAACCTTTAACCTACCATGGACCGTGATACACCCTGTATATATATATTCTGAAGTCGTTATTTTTGATTTCATAATTAAAAACATTTTTCTTAGCCATCTTAAAAGCGGTTAGTGCTATTAAACTTCTAATTCAAATAATTAAACTTCCCAATTTAAATTAAATATTGATTAAAACTTTGTACCACTTTATTTGTGTTTATTTTAGGGGGATCTGGAACAGCTGTTGATTGTATCTAATCCGGATATAGTAAATTTACAGTGTTCTCGTCAACGTACACCAATAACAGATCAAAATCTCTAATTTATTAAGAAATATTAAATGTGAACTGATTGTATAAATAATAATAAGAAAGTATATTTATGTATTTCTTAGAACTAAAAGTACTTTAAACTAAATGTATTTATTTAACATTAGACCATAGAAATATGTATTAGTACATTTTTCTTTAATTAATGTACCTGCTTGACAATAGACACCTGTTAATTAATTGGTTAACACTTCTAGACAATAATAAAAATTAACATTAATCAAAATTGTATTCGTTGAATTAAAGGATTAAGAAAATTTCTTAATTTAATATAATGCATTATTATGGTCCATTTTTTATTAAACTTGAATAAATTTTAAATTATATTACATTTTACTACGTTTTTATAAAATTTTATATTATAAGTTACAAATAAAGAATTTTTGGAACCCGTTTACAGTCAATTATATAATTTAATTTTATACCCAACGTTAGTAACGTTACGTTACTAACAGAACCTTTATATTGAGTTAAAAAGACACACCAAAAAGTTGCGATTTTCCTACCTTCTAGTGACCTTTTTTCTGTTTTTTTTTTAAGTCCATGTGAACCATCAAACTCGTGAAATTTGTACCCTTGTACAGTAGGAGCCAATATTTTTTTAGAGCATAGCTAACTTTTCCAAAATTGTAAGTTACATAATGTATTATTTTCAGAAAATAAGATGAACTTGTATTCAAATGTCAAAGTGAAACTTTTTTGTGGAGCATAGGAGGTGTGTTCAGAAAATAACGGGAATTGTTAAATTTGCCGGTTCGGAGGGTCCGGTTGTCATAAAATTTTCTTTATTATGTTGGTATACAGCCCCCGAAGTATGATAAAAACTTTAGCTATTTTCATTGTTTACTTTGTCTGTGGCAGCCGCTAAGGTTAGACGTGTTTTATGAGCTCGGCGATTTTTCGTTCGTTAAAAGAAATGGATTAAAGAATTTGTATCCAATTTTCGTTAAAAATGAAATAAATTCTGTGAAATGTTAACAAATGCCTATAGTGAGTCTGCTATAAGTAAAACAGTAGTTTACAAGTGATAAAAGAGTTTCCAAGATGGCCGTGAAGACGTTGAAGATGACGAAGGCCCCGAACGCACAAGCACATTAACAACCCATAAAAACATGGAAAAAGTGGAAGAAATGGTTATAAACCATCAGAGAAGTCGCTGATGATGTTGGTATATCAATTGACTCATCCCATTAAATTTTTTCGAATGTTTTGGGTACGAAACGCGTGGCAGCCAAATTTGTTCTAAAATTGTTAAATTTTGAACAAAAATTTTGGCCAAAAACAATACTGTAATGATGCCCCAGCCTCCATATTCGCCAGACATGCCTCTGTCTGACTTTTTCATATTCCCAAAAATAAAGAGAACCTTAAAGGGCCGTCGTTTTGCAAGCATAGATGACATTAAAAGCGCATCGCCGAAAGAACTTAAGGCTATCCCAAAGATCGAGTTTTAGAAGTGTTTCGAGTATTGGAAGAAGAGCTGGCACATGTGCATAATATCCAATGGGGACTATTTTGAAGGCGATAACATTAATGTAGACGAATAAATAAATATTTGTTTCAAAAAACTAAAATTCCCGATATTTTCTGAACACACCTCGTATAGTACGTACCTAACTACATATTGACAATTAAAAACGATTCTGTGATTAGATATTTTATGGAATAATTAAATCTATTTAGTCGCTGTAGGTATTCATATAAATAGCTTTAAAAATGTACAAGATAAATTTACCAAATAAAATTTGGGCTTTTAAAGCCACAAATTAATCTTTGAAAGGAAACGTTAAATTTTACCTTAACCTAATTTCTCTTTGATTACACAGTACAACACGATTTCCCTTCCATGAAAAATTTTAGCAGATTTTGAAAATAGAGGTAAAAAAACGTACCCGTGTCTCACAGTTTCAAGAGATCACGTCATAAAAAAATTTGCTTATACAGTTTGTACATTTTTTACTCGGTTAAAAATATATTTTTTTGTAAATATTGTATGTTTTTACACAATACAAAAAACAAATATAAAAAAAGTTTATATTTTGATTTTTTTTAAGTAATTTTTTTTATTTTTTTTTTAATGAAACACATTTTTGTATTTATCTTATATTCAATACATGTTGGAATGAAATCTTGGTTGTTTAGTTTGACGATTATACAGCTCGTTCAGACTAAAACCGAATATATCTATATATATGGGGCGTGGCCTCGCCTCCCTCCAACGCACGACACAGTAGCTAAGCAAATAGACTGCATCGCTAATGAGATTTTTTGCATTATTATCATTTAATTTTTTAAGTCCTTACCTGCTCGACCTTTCGTCATGTCGTTTATCACACAAGCAACTGTGACGCGCCTTGTAGGGAGGCGAGGCCACGCCCCATATATATATAGATATATTCGGTTTTATTCTGAACAGGCTGTATATTGCTTCAGAATCTCGAATCGACCAGCAATATTCACCCAGCAAATGCCTGACGTCTTTTCCCTTGAAGCGTTTTTCAATTGTTAAAATGTCTTGGTGAAAACGTTCGCCATGTTCGTCACTAAAATCGCCCAAATTTGGTGGAAAATAGTCCAAATGAGCATGGAGAAAATGTATTTTCAGTGACATAATATGACATATTATGACATATTATGTACTTTCATGTCCTGTGTTATAAAATGTACTTTATAACCCGAACTACAGGGAATAAATTCAGATTCCATCTCGGAAAAAATGGTTGTACTGGGTGTTAAAGGTCTTTTACTTTTATCCTCACATATGTTTTCTGAAGGAGCAGTTGGATAATCTTCAGATCGCACTTTTGCGAGAATGACGGATTTTACATCGGCGTAATCAATCTCTCTCTAGTATTGTACCGAAATCCAAAACTTTTTAATTTTGACATGCAGAAATAACACTGGTCAGATGCGTGTTCGGTACGTTGCGACGGGTCGAAGCCAAATTGTTGGTGCAACATATTTCATACTGTGTGTTTTATCTTGCAATCCATGCAAACAACGGTAACAATAATCGCATAAAACCTCTGGTACATACCATAAGTTTGGTATATACGTCACCAAAAAATAGTCTTCAAAAGCTGTTACTACACTTTTTGTAATATTTCGCATATGGCTTGGAGGTGCAAATAAACCACAAAATTATTTCGATTCGGACACTGCATTTTTACTTTGATTTCAAATGGATGGTTAACTCAACAATCAAAATTAATATGAAAAATTTATCGATTTATCGCTGCAATAATGTTTTTATTTAACATTTAAAAAAAAAGTATTACCCTCATATAAAGATTGTTTTGAAAACAATGCTTTTTATGTATAAATGCCAAATTTGTTTTTTGGCCGTTTCAATTGACTTCGTATACTTAAATACTTTTTTTACTTAAATTAAATGTTTTGGGTACACTTGCTTTAAGACTTAAATCAATTCATTTAAATATCTTTTAATTTTTTTTAAAAATGTTAATTCAACAAAACTCAATTTTTACAAAAAATTGAATAAATAAAAATTTTAATCACCCGACTTTAAAGCATTTTGATTGGCTTAAAATTGAAACATTTTGTTACTTGGTTTAAAAATAAACCGTTTGATATATATATATATAAATGTGTAAAACTCTGTATAAGATTAAAATAATTTTAAAATGCATCTATAATGGTTGCCTATCCATTTAGTAAATATATATATTTTTAACTATGCAGTCCAGCTGTTATCGAGTCTATTAAATTATGTCGCGAATAGTGTGAATAACATTTTATTGGATAGCCCTTAAAAAAAATTATGACGTGATGTGGAAAAACGCCGAGACACGGGTATCATTTTTTTAACTCTATTTTTAGAATCTGTAGAAATTTTTCATGGGAGGGACCAAAAATCAAATTTTGTCGTACTGTGTTATCTTTGCCAACTAAGAATATTAATTAACTGTTTACTCCTGAAATGCTCTCAAAAAAACTTTATTCCCAATATTGATTTACGTATTTGTTTGGTGTTATTTAATTAAAATCATACAGTATATGGCGCCTTCCTCTTTTTAGTAAATTGGCTAATGTTTATTCTGATCAAGTTGATTTTACTGGAGTGTGTAAATAGCATTTGAAATAAACTTTATTGCATAGGCAAATAGCTATCCCTTTTTTAATAGATTTGGTCTGCTGGATACGACAAAAATATCAGATTGTTTAAATTAACGTTTTTTGCGTAAAAAATGTAGTGTTTTATTAGCCATAAAATGAATAATAAAAATGTAAAATAAATTTTAAAACCATTATTTTATAATTAAATTTGCGTTATAAATAATAATATTAATGGTTACCCAAAAATATTTTGTCGATAGTTGACTCAACATTTTCAAATATCTGATTATATCATAATCCTTAGTAAAGCTGGATTATTTATTTATTTAGACTGTTGTTAATAGGAATTTTCACGTCAGTTGTGCCAATTAAATTATTTTTACAAGAAATCAAATATATTTTTTAAATAAAAAACATTATAAGAAATCAACTTTATTTATGTAAAAAACAAAATGAACTTTCTAGTGTTTATCGGGCGACCGAGAAAAATAAATATTAAGCCATAAATTTTATATTAATAAAAATAATTAATTAATATTTAATAGATCCATCATTATCATAAAATATTTTCTAGGCTGAAACTTAAATTTTTACTGTTGTAATTTTCTTCCAAATTTTTTCACTCATTTTAAATGGCATTAATAAGGTAACTCGTTTCTATTTTTTGGTCTAAATTCATAAATGTATTTTTTTAGTTATTCACAATAAAGGAGATATCTTTCAAAACGCAGTATTTGATCAAAACCAGTTAAAAACATTTTGGGTTTATTACTCCTTTACCTCGCCTCTCCTTTACCTTGACAAAAGAAATATAATCGTGTTTATAAATTAAATCCAAAAATATAACAGAATTTACATATATTTTTATATCTAATACCTACCCCGACCAACTGTGGAAGATCGGGGAGCTCTCATCGATCACTACATCTTAATT